TCCCAGACACACATCTCAGGGAAAAAAAGTGACTTTTTTTTACTACATGCTCATACACATTCCCGAAGGAAACAGTACCATTAACATTACAGACCCTTTAAAATGTCAATGTTTTTGTACTACATTTAAATACATTTAGAAAAAAGTTAATTCGAGCTAATTAAGCAAATGGTCTTCCAGGATGAGGGAATATATGAGGATTAAAAAAGACAAGACCACCTTCACAGCAATGTGGTTGCTTATTACTTTCTGAAAACCTCGGAGATGACTGAGCCGGCTCCTTCCCTGGAATTTGTTTCCTAAGTGTTCTCCAGACAAGAGGCATTGGTGCTAAATTTATTAAACTTCCTAACAAATCCCAGGCTCTTCAGCAGAGAAAGAATCTGCAAGGTCAGTGCAGAGCCCGTCACCAGAGAGGAACTCAGCTGTGATGGGACGCTCTGGAACCAAGCACAAGCAAATTCCAGCAGGTTACTGGGATGGGCTCTCTGCCAACCCATGAGCTGTACGGGAAGGCAGGAACAAATGCCATGGGAAGGAGACAAGACTGCGAAGGTGCAAGAAAGCAGAGCTGCATGAGGATGGAACGGGCAGTGGTGGAAACGGGACACCAGAGATACCAGACTGGAAACTGCATTTATGGAAATCTCACGGGGATCTGGAGGATTAGGCCAATGTATGAGTGATGTGCACATCCCACCTGCCCACCAGGTCATCCCAGCGCTGCCATCTGAGGGAAGGCGGGGGGGAAATGGTGATCCAGCACTTCAGGAGGAGGCACTGGGACCATCTGTGTGCCCAGCCCAGCCCAGGGAAGCCTCAAATGCCTCCCCGGCAGTGGGGGCTGTGAAGGGCAGCCCCATTCCCACTAAATGTAGGAGTTATACAAGTAAATCCTATGATGCCCCACGAGCTCCACGAAAACCAGGCTGCGAGGTGATTTGGAGCGATTAAATCGCTCAGCCCACGCACGGCCGGGGCGCCGTGGGGCCCGAGGCTGCGTGAGCGGCTCCCTGGGGAAGGAGGCGGGGCTGGTGATTAAAACAACAACACGAACGCGAGACCTCAGTTTAGCAGCAGGATCCGAGCCCTCGAGGAGGGGGATGGATTTAGAGAAGGGCCAAAGTCAGCGACAAGGACAAGGGCAGGGCAGGGACGGGACCCGCCGCCGCGCTGAGGCAGCGCGCGCTCCCCTCACGGCCGCGCTGAGGGACCGGGGGCCGGCGGGCCCTGGCGAGCGCCGTCACTTACTTGTCCACCCTGACACTACCCGGGCCGCGCACACCCCGAGCAGGGACGTTCCCTGAAACCCGCCGCTGCCGGGAAACCCGCTGGGCTCCCCCTTCCCGGGCCGGCCGCGCCTGCGCCGGGAAGAGAAGGGAAGGGGAGGGAAGGAGAGGCGGGAGCGGCCTGGCACGGTTCCTCCGGGGCTGAGGGGCATCGGCTCAGAAGGAAGGGAATCGCCTTTATCCTGTGTTTAGAAGCGAATAAAGCAAAAGAAGGCGGGGGGTTGGCTTGGTTTGCTAAAGGGGTTGGTATATCGTATTTCTCAGCCCCGTTGCTCTCATAAAGGACTGCAAAATTCAGGCGGTCAGAGAAGCGTTGGAGCGGTGCAAAAAGCCACATGGTGAGCCCCGGGGAGGAGATACACAATACAGAAAAATAAATATATATACAAGAGTAAATATAATGATAAATATGGAAGATTATATATAAATATATATAATATTAAATAAGCAGGAGGCAATGTCAGGGCTAAGGACATCCACCACCCTCTGACCCATAAATATGCAATTGCTTCTTAAATAAATAAAACAGGGCTGTGAGCCGTGAGTGTGATGTTCTGCACAGTTACTCTGAAAGTTTTGCCTAAAAAGCTGGGAAACTGCTGATGTGAGGAATAAACCCTGAGTTTGCTTAAAATGGAGGGAGGACGAGGCAGTGGGATCCGCTCAAATGCATCCCTGGAAAACAGAGATCACAGAATCAATTAGGTTGGGAAAAATCTCTGAGATCACTGAGTCCAAGCCATGGCACAGCCGTGGCTGCACACTGCAGATCCCACCACATCCCTCCATGACCTTCCACAACCCATGAAGGGAGGAGCAGATGGCAACCCTCACATTCCCATCATGTCCAAACACTTCTGGCCCCAGGAAGCCACCAGGGATTTTTCCCGTTATCCCCCAAATATTCTACAGCAGGAAATCTTGCAGCAAAAAAAGCTGTCTTACAACATTTCCAGAGTATTCCCACTTTGGCCCAGGCAGAAACGCTGCAGGAACAACCTTGCTCAGGGAAGGATGAGTGTTGTCTCGTGGTCAGAGCACAGGGTTCGTGGTCAGGAGCTGTGGGTTCTCATTCCAGCTTTACCACTGAATCATTTTGAGAGCCTCGCTAGTCACTTTGTACTACAACCAGTTAGTAATTTTCCGTTGGAATGATTTTCTGATGGAAAACACTGCTACAAAACTGAAATCTGGGTGAAAATCCATTTTCCCATTGGGAATACCTTGCATGTAGGCGGGGCAGGGAAGGACATTTGACCAAATGGAAGTTTTCTTGCATTAACTCAAATGTTTTGCTTTGAATAGATAGATTTTAAAAAAAAAATATTTCGACTGTAATTCCAAATCAGCTCGTGGCACGGTGAGAGTGTGTGCTCTCATGCTCTGTTTTGCTCCAAGACAGGTCTGCACTTTTGTAATAGGATTCAAATGTCTCTTTTCTGAGAGAAGTCTATCCCGATCTGAGTCCAGCCTGACCCATGGGGACAAATCCCAGCATAGGGTCACCACTCTGACCAGGGAAGTGCTCCATGGAGAGAAAGTGCAGGACTCAGAGACACAAACAAGCTGTTTCACATTAGTTCAGTGACCTAAAACAAAGCGCCGTGGCTGGGGAGATACCCAAATGTTTTGTTCAACTGAAAACCAGTAAAACGAAGCCCAGAGAAATGGACCTGAGAGTGCTTCTGTCTCTGACAATCAAATCCTACAACCCTACCATGCACATGCTGGGCGCTGGTTCATAGTTCTGGCTCTTCACCCTCCCAGCTATCTCCCTTCTTTGCTGTTTTGTTCCAGAATCCTATTTCTCTGTTCGTTAAAATTAAATTTATTTCTGTCTCCTATATATTCATACATTGCTGAACTTTCTTTTAATCTAAATAATACTTGTTGTCCTCCCACAGTGTATTTGTAGACACCATTTAAATCCATTCTTTTGTTTTGCCAAGTTAAACATTAACCATTTACATTTTCTTTCATAACAGCAAGTTTTGCAGTATCTAATAAGCTTTCTCTGCACTTGTTTCAGTCAGAATTCATCTTTTCTGAGCACAAGTCATCAGAGCCTGACATAAAGTGTAATGTTCAAAATGATGGCTTGCTAGAGACTTGTATAGTGGCAATGATAATTCCCCGTGGACTCTTTTAGTTACAGACAGGGATCAATTTTGCCTTTTTTATACCTATATCACATTAGCACCTCCATGTGTCCAGGTCTTTTTGCTCCAAGAAGTAGCAAAAATAAGTACAGACAAATGTATTAACTTAAGATTTCTAAATACATTTTTTCCATTTCATCTCACTTCCCTAGTACTCACATGGTTTCTTTCCAAGGGGGTGACAAATGAAGACATTTCCAAGAAAGTTACAGGATCTCCAGCCCTCAAAATCAAAGCCCTGAAAATGCCTTTTTTTTTAATGGAAGAATCAGAGTTTAGATTATTACCTATTCCCAAGCCCACATGAGGTTTAATTCATTGCTCCTTTGAAATATTCTGAAAGCCGAGGGTTAAGAGGTGTTGTATTAGTGCAGAATAATGATGATTGATTGATTCATGCTTGGATCAAATGCAGGAGGAGTAGGAACATGTGTGGTGAATCCTCTATAATTTCAAAATCTTTCTGTAAAGCTGAAAATCCCCTGTAGATGTATGAAATGGAACCCAAGACCACCTTTCCCTGTTTAGAGCATGGCTGTCGTGGTTTTGCTTCCAAATAACCCCTCTCTTTTTCCAAGATTCTGGACAGATTCACTTAAAATATACCCTTTTGCATTTTCATTACAGAGTAACTGATGAAAATTCCATTTTAAATGGACTTTCTGGGACACAGGGACATTCTTTTTATCATTATTAACCAAAGCTCATATTTCAAGCTGCAGGGATACAGCTCCAGGTAGTGTAAATCAGCATTCCCCGGGATGGCCCTGAGTCCTCTCAACCAGCCCCTCAGAACAATTTAGTGGTTTTAGATGACAGTTGGCATCTTTGAAATATTCTCTGTTGCAGAACTAGACTAGATGTGACACTTGCTGCAGAAGAAATCTTGCATAAATCTGTCCAAAAAGACTCAATCATATTACTTCACTACTCATAGTAACCTTTGGAGGCCAAAGTCCAGACAGGTTGAGAAATGGAGCATGAGTCCATAAAGGTGACAATTCCATTAACTGCAATCAGAGGAAGAGGTGAATGGTGAGATAAAGACAAATTACTTCTTCTATAAAGAAGAGAAAATACGTGTGTGAAGGGGAAAGAGATGGAAGGAACATTTTCCAGCTTTATCAAGGAAATAAAGATTCAGCCCCGCTCTGTTGAGATCAACACAAAAATGTCCCTTGGGCTTTGTGGACCCAAGTTTTGCACCATCACCCTGGTGAATATCAGTGGGAACCATCACTTTGGGAGTGCAGATGTTCACATGGGAGACACCCCGGCAAAAAACCATGTGCAGAATTCCTCACTGAATTGCCCCCAAAGCCATGCTGGAATTGCAAATGCTGGGCCTGGCTTTTCAGTTAACAGGGCATTTTGCAAAAATAGCTATGTGGAAAAATTGTTGGCACTTCTGAATCCAGTGGTTTAGGGTTCTCAAATACACCAGACAACATCTACCAGCCCAGTGGGTGCATTTCAGCCCCAGGGGCTGAACAGAAATGGCTTTGAGACCTGTATTTGGGCCCCAAATGAAAGAGTGGGACATACTGACTGTGTGTGACATTTTCAAGGGTTTCTATGCAGAAAACTTCATCTAAAACCAATCCATGTACAAACCAAAACAAGGCAAACAAATTGTTTTACTTGCAGAAGTATCTCTGAGCATCCAAAAATTCCACTTAGGTGTTGATTAGCATAACAATGAAAGGGAAGAAAATATTTATAAAGGTTCTTGTAACACATGTGCTCAGGCAGTTCATACAAGCACTTGAGGGTGGATTTTAATCTCATTTTAAATAAGTATAACAGTGGTATAGGACATAGAAGCTGGAGAATACTCTGGATGAAATGCTCATGGGGTCATTAGATTGGAACTATTCATTCAAACAGGGAAATAGGGAAGTAAAAACCAACTGAATTTTTCATAACAACAAGAAGGAATTTTTGAGTGTACCATAGGAAAAAAAGGAAATTTCCTTTAGGGGACTTTTTCTGTTTTTAACAGAAATATTAAGTTACTCTCAGATACTTGAGCAGCCAAAAAGGGAAATCCCTGTTTTACGCGGCTCTAAATATAGCTAGAAAAAAAATAATTCAGATTTTATCAATTTGTGACCCATTTGGGCAGCTCACCTTTTAATACCAAAGTCAGAAACTGATACAAACAAACATACAGTATTTCAGGCTCCAAAATTCCAGTGTCTTGCCCACGGCCTGTTCCTGCCTGCCCTCTTGGCTGGACACCAATATCCTTTATTCTCAGGGGAGTCAGCCTTCCAAAAAACCACTTGGCACTCGAGTCAGGGCTGCTCTGTTTTCCTAACGTTCACGGCAGGCAGGATGTTTTCCGACTCTGGTACCCAACAGTTGAGCATTCCAGACAGCACGGGGATTTTTCTTCCAAAACCACACTGCCAATGCCATAAGAATAAGTGAAGTTTTGTGACACCATGTGATCCTGGTGGGAAAATGGGATGACTTTGCTGTCACACAGTGATGCACAAAGGGAAAATGCGCATGGCTCTTGCCACCTTTGTAAATTCTCCTTCTGGGGTGTGAATGCTGAAAAAATGCTGGCCTAAAGTCCTGTTTTCATCAACTGGTTCCCCTCTGGGAAGGCTGCCAGATCTCCACAGATTAGTTAAGGAGAAGACCCCCCCCCCCCCAAACTGTCTGGCCAGAAAAGCAACCCAGTGGTGCAGTGTGGCAGAGGGGATGCTCAGCAGTCTGTGCACACAGTGTTTTCAGCAAGTGAAAATGTTCTGTTTGCTCCACAGAACACACAGTACAGATACTCCTGCAACTTTTTTGTCTATGCCTTTACACTCCTTAAATATTAGAAATATTAATATTATCGTTAACATTTATATGGAAGTAATTCCTGAGCTCACTGATGTTGAGCCAACTCTAGCTGTGCAGCCTTTCCTGTGTAGATCAGACACGGCTCAGGTGAGGGCAGGCAGGTGACAACTCACAGCCAGGACTCCTCACTGACCAGGAGCAGACAGAGGCAAGATTGCCACACACATCTCCCATCACAGCTCTGTGCCACAATCCAGATGTGCAAAATCATGAAATCACAATCTCTCGAGCTGGAAATGAATTTCACAAGCCAAGCTGTGAAAATCTCGTCGAGCTCCTCGAGTTTCACAATACCTCACATCTCCGGAAAAACAACTATAACAGAGGTTAAATATTCTTTCAGCAACATCCTTCCAAGACTTTTTCCAGGATTTGACCAGCTTGTGAGAAGTAGTTTGTTACAGTGGTGATATATCACACAGTGGTGCCAAATCCAGTCAGTGTGGAGAGGATTGAAGGCAGCTCAAACCCCCTTCAGGCAGCGTGTCCTGATTCCACACCTGGCACCTCCTACAAAAGGCAGATCCTATTTTGCCCTTTGAATTCCAAAGCCAGTGAACACAGTCATGGAGGCAATCAGTCAAGATCTGTTAATTTGTAAAAAATATAGCTCTCTGTTCTCCAAGGGTAAGATTAACTGGGATCTGTACTTCCAAGATTATAAACAACACACAGCCTTTCTCCAAAACTTGTTGCAAAAAGTACAAATGATGTTCTAATGCCAGCACTGTAATCTTTATAAATCTTAGATGGAGCAGGGGCTCGTTCCATTACATAAAAAGAAGTTTGTAGGATCATGTAGCCACCTGCAAATCATACACAAATAGGCCAAACAGCACGAGAAACAGGAATAAAATCACCATATATGTAGCTGGTTCCTATAGCAGAGAGAGTCATGCTCTGTATACAACCCAAAACAAATTGTCTGCTTAGAATTAAAATATGATACTGTTTCCAAAAATCTTGCCTCTGGGGAAATAATTTTTATACCACAGGGCAGATTCAGCCCTGGTGTAGGATTTCTGATTTTCACGGAATTGCACCATTAAGGAATTTGGCCCAACATCTTACCCACACTGATGCAATTCAACTTCTAAGGGACAGTTATGGGGTTTCCTCCTAAGTAAGGCCAAGTTTCTGGAACAAGGGAAGTCTGTAAAAGAAACTATTGGAGAGATGTTTTAGTCTGGCATTTGGGAACATTCACATGTTAGAAAATGTCACAGGGTTTATTTTGTATGTCTTCTTGCACATTTGAATTTCGTGCTTTTTCTTCTTCCCGACAGATACATTGTCAGTAGGTGGTCGCAGCAAAACTGGATAAACCCCAAATAACTGTAATGAAATGATTATAGACAGTGTGAGTAGAAAGACATTTGTGGATCCGGTTCATTCTGCCTCATCTTTGTCATATAAATCTATTTTCCAACCTAATACATTGCCTGAGCTTTCAATATATGATTAGCAGAACATCTGCACCACTCAGGACTCTGGAGAAAAATTTAAGATATTAATTGTCCAACATTTTAGGTACCTTTAAATGTTTTGGGCATGACTGATCTCACATAGTGCCTTGGATTTATGCTTTGTGTGACAGATGGAAATCTGAAGCGCACACTGATGCTCTCACTGATGTTGAAAACTTCTGCACAGAATCACAGAAGAAGAGTTATAACACCTCCCTGCTCCTGGAGTTAACCTGGTATTTCCTAAAATCCTGCAGCCCCACAGGTCATGGCCCAGAAAACAGGAGTTTCCCCGGCTCTTCCTGCCAGCGCTGCCTGTACCGGGCACTGTGATGGGGTGGGATGTGATCCTGTCAGGGGGCTGGGGGAGATTATTCCCTTCCCTCTGCAGTTGTTCAAGCTGCCCAAACAGCACAGGGCAGATGCTCAGTTTCTTAAGGCTTCCTGGGAAAATCAACACTGTTTCAAAACCAGAACCGAAACTCTGGAAAGATTAATCGAGCTTGGGTCAAGAGGGAGGAAGGATGAAATAGCTTTTGACAGCAGTGAGCTGGTAAATGATGTGCCCAGTGCTGAGCTCTCAGCATTGAGTCAAAATATTCAGTGCATCACATCAAAAACTCCTTTAGACTATTGACATAATATTAGAAAGAACATGGAAAAAGATAGAACAATCAAAGGTACATTTTCAATTTCCTACTTGCATTCTTACACTAATAAAGACTTAGTATAAATGAAATGGAGCAAATGCTATCAGTAAATTAAAATGTATGGAGAAATATGTTTTAATGTATGTACAAGAGTTAAAAAAAAAACTTTGGCACAGCTGCAGTTTAGAGTTTTTTCCAGTGTTAAGCACAAGCAGCAAATGAAGCAGCTTCAAGCATTCTTTAAAATCCCATTCTTTAAAATCCATTCTTTAAAATCCCCAAAGGGTTACTACCCTTTGGATTTTACAGTTTGTCTTTCCAGAGCAATGATAAAACCATCACAGCTTTAATCAACTTTTTGAATCATTGACCAGTCAGAAAAGCTGAAAGTGAAATAAAAATCAAGACATGTAAAAAACCAGAAATACTGGACATTTTTGCCATTTCTGTCAACCAGGTAGGAATGTTGTTAGAAAGCAAGATAAGAAATTGAGGGAGGGAATAAGTGGTAACTGCTCCCTTATTTTAGGCTGGTTTATGTCTGACTGTTTCAAAATTAGGAGGAATATGTGACTGGGTGCGTAACTCCACCCTCTCCAAGAATTGCTGGGATCATTGTTTATGAGCGTGATCCAAACACAGGAACAGTTTCCTTACCTACAGTCTGTTGCAATCATGGAAATTCCATGGGATGTTCCCATTGATACCTTGTCCCCATCGTCACAGCACACCCTGAGAACTCCTCATCTTGGGACATACAGGATTATCTACTTAGCCTCAAGCTTTGGAAATCACCTTGATATGGAATAAAAAATACCTCTTAGAGCTGCTTTGTTTTAATGTTAGTGAAGGAAAGAAATCCCAATAAGAGCTGTGGATGTGACTGTTTGTCATCCTTTGAGAAAATAAATGTTCTAAGTCAGCTCAGTGGTACTTTTGTCACTGAGTTTCTAATGTTGAAAACTGACACCAGTACCATGACCTGAATAACTTAAAATTTTGACCCAAGAGTAATGTCCCCCTGTAAAAGAAAGATCTCCCAAATTAAGACTTCAGCTGCTCCATCTTAAGCTAGAGAACTATTTTTCTAAGCTGCCGCCTGAACTGGGTTTCAAACCAGAACTGAATGAATGCAGAGGAGGAAGCCTAAGGTACAGCAGTTAAAATATATGGAGGTTTGTGGAACATCAAACCTTTCAGAGTGCAAAATATTTGCAATTTGATATTGCAAGCATTTCCCTTCCCACTGGAAGGTTAGTTTGTTAGAGAGGAACATGTTGCTCTCAGAGAATATCACAGGCTGCTCATGTTCTTGCTCATTAACTTATTTCCAAGCAGAAGAAAATTCGTGTCACCTGTGGTGAGGGGTGTCTTGGTCAGATTGTTCTCTCGTATCTTACCTAGTCCTAATAAAGGGAACCAATTCAGAGGTTGAGAGTAGTACTTTTGGCCTTTTAACCATGGCCTTTTCAAGGTAATCCATATTTTAGCAGTGGCCCATGACGTTACCTTCATTTGTAACCTAGTGCCAGATTTATTCCATAGAATTTTGCACAGATCCTGGGACCAGGGAGGCTCATGACTGCAGCCCCTCCCAGCCCAGCTTCCATCAGCACATCCCAGCCCCCTGCAGCATGTTTAGCAAGCGAAACCCCATGCTGGCACTCAGGGTTGAGTAACAGTGTTCTTGGTACACCCACCCAATGTCCTGAATATTGGGTAATAGGAAACCAGGGGATGGAACAAGCCACTGCTTTTGGTTTCTGAGCTCCTGAATCCTTGAGAGGTTCTAGGGGGTATCTGCTCTGTGACAACACTTCCCATTGTGTGTTCCAGCCAGGAAGATGGATGTACCTTAGTGAGTCATTCACTGAACCTGGGCCAAACTTTGAAGCAAATCTGGGCCAGTTTACTGCCTCGGGAGGAAACCTGGTTTTTGCATGAATTAGATGTGAAAATAAGCAGAGCCTGACTGACATCTTCTCCAAATTCCAACTGTAAGGGTAAAACCCAGAGGGCACGAGCCTCAGGCATGACAAAAATGAGGAGGGGAAAATGAGGCATCTGTCTCCCCTCCAAGATCCAGAGAGACACATGTTACTGAGAACTTAGGGTAAATCGTTAATTATTTAGACACTAATTAAGTAATGTTTATAGAGTGGCTTACGTATGTAAATGGATGTAAAGATGCTTACGTTTTTCCTGCAGTCTCCAATTAAACCAACTTTCATTATAGAGCAAAACAATTCCATCCCAGCTTGTTACACCAGTTCCTTATCCAGGCAGCTTTTCAGCCAGTGCTCCCAGCTCAAACTGGGCTATTGTTGCTTCCCTACGGAAATTTCTGGTTTGCAGTTGTTTTAATTCCATCACCGATCACATTCTGTTTAATGATAATTTGATTTTGCATTGCAAGACCCAGATGTACATTAGGAGGTCACAACCTTTCCATTTATCTCCTAAAGTAACTATTTTTTCCCCGAGTTCCATCAGGTTAAAACAGTTAGCAATTTTTCTCCTTGAAGTGTCCCTTCAGCTTGGCCGAGATATATAATAGATCAGTGTAGCTACAAATGCATTACAACATTAGTCATCAATTAGTTTTAAACCATCGCTGTAATATATCATTTATCCAGCTTGCTGTAGCACTATTGTGAACATTTAATTTTTTAAAGGCATCTTGATTTTTTAACCTGATGGCTGCATCCCCCCTTTGTCTCCTGTGCAGACATCTCCTTAAGGAACAATAAAAATTAGATTTGTTTGACCTGCACTCAGGGTTCATTTAAGCGAGATGGATTTTAATTGCTCTGCCCAGTCTCCCAGACAGCTTTTATGTAATATTCCAGACATTTACGCACTGTCTTTCCCTGGCTGTGAGCAGGTGTGTGCCCACAACTGCCTGTAAAGCAGCTCTTACAATTCATTTCGCATCTCGGGCAATCCTTGGGGAAATTGCTTACTCTGAGATACCCATTGGCATCAAATTAAGGCCTCTGTTCATTGCCACTTCTTCCCTCCTAATACCATTTTCTTTTGTTTTTAAGAGTCACCTTTCTGTGTGGCTGACTCTAAAAGGGCTTTGCTGAGGACTGTGTTCCTTGCACTTGTCTTGTTGTCACAGAGCACAGGTGACTTACCCCAAATAATGAGAACGGGCACAGGGCCTGCCTCTCCCAAACCCCACATTGTCCTTCTACGATTTGCAATAAAATTTATGATTTGAAAAGGTTTGGATTCTGAGACAGCCAAGACTGGGAGCAGCAGGTCTGTGCCACAGTTTGGTATCTTGAAGGATCTCAAACTTCAATTAGCAGGTCACGCGAGCGAGTTATCACAGCACTGACTCAGAGCCCAAACACCCCGACTGCTCTGCCAGCTTGGAGTGGAGGCACAATGAGCTCACGTTTGCCCACAATGAACCTTATTTGCTCCAGATGCTGCATCAGGGAGAGGAGAACCTCATGTGGAGAGTTCTCTCCCTGCTAACTCTCCTCTTCCACGGGTGATACAATCTGAAGATGAGGTCCTCTGTTTTTCCTGTTCTTCTCATTCCTAAAAAGGAAGATTTGGCTGGCCCACGAGTTACCAAATCAGCACAAAAAAATGGGCCTTCTAAGCAGTTCTTTGTGCCTACAGCTGGTTCTGGTCTCCTCTCTGTTGGACACGCACATGTGCTCAATTCCCAGTTGTGCTGGATGCCTATTAAAAGAACAAATCTGCAAGTGAGGAGGGTCTCTCCTGCCATGTCCATGGAAGTGAAATACGTAAATCTCCTGCATGCTGAGGGGAATGAATGCTCAAAGTGCTTGGGAGAACAGCTGTGAAAGAATAAGCAGTTTGTGTTCTGCTGCACAGTGTCACCGATCCAGCTCACAAAGCTGATCCTCATGTGGCACGTTGTGCCTGCTCCATGACACTGCCTCCTGCTTCTGGTGGGGTGATTCAAAGTGCTCAGCATTCCAGGCAGCATGGGAAAAGGGACAAACCTGCTCCTTCCACAGTGGTACAGCCAGCACGGTGATGGTGCACAGCAGCAAGGGAGCACTGGAGTGGGAAGGACAATTCCAGTTAGGGGCCCTGTGCAGGGAGTGGAGGTTGAGATCATGGCAAGCCATGGGCAGAGCTGTGGAGAAGCAGGGGAACTGCCTGTCCCTGCCAGCCTGGGAAGCCAGAAGAGAGATTGGAATAATCTTCCTCAGTGCCAATGGTTTTCTCTTCTATCTGCCAGTGGTGAATTCTGACCACTCAGGAGTGAGTGGAGTGAGACTGGTATATGATTGGTATATACCATCCTGGAGTGAGACTGGTATATGATTGACAGGTGAATCACAAAACATTTAAAGAATATGAAGGCTTCAGTAGGACTGTGGAAGGAAGTTGTGTTTCCCTTCCTGAAAACCAAGCAGAATTGCCCACTTGACCAAAACCCAAAGTACAAGTGCACAGCTCAAGGCATTCACCTTCCGCCTGCCCTGAGCCAGCACCAAGTCCCACCATAAACCACACCCACCTATGGTTCCTTCCCCCTCTGGACAAGAGAGAAACAGCAGAACATGTTCAATGCTAATTATGGCATCAGTGGAAGAAACTCAGATGAGACATTCACTGAGAGAAGCCTTGGAAGAATTTTACTTGATGTAGAATCTTTGAACACAGCAATGACATTAGGAAGGAGATGGGAGGTCCAATGCACTTATTTTGCATGTGGACACATCATTCTTAATTTCATATTCTGTGGGGTTTTTCCCCTGGGGCTTTTATATCCATCAGTAACACACACCCCAATATTTTTTACTTCCCTGACAGAAGCACTGAAAATCAAACCCATTTATTGAATACCAAACAAATGCAGAAATAAGAGCAGCTTCAGCACTAGAATACACATTTGTAACCCTCCAAGGACCAGATGCAGCAGAGCTGGAACACTCAGCAGCTGTAATGTGCACCAAGAAGTCACATTTGTTCAAGAAAAATCACATTACTTATATTAATTGGATGTGTCCAGCCCATCATGAGTCCACTTAAGCCTTGGCAAACCTTTAGCTCTGAGCATAACAAAGGTATTAATACAGACATTCCTTTATATTATCCCATTTACATAACAGCTCCCACCTTTGCAGCCTAATACTTATCCTTTGGAACACAGAGAACTATTGACTCATATCTGGACTGGGTTGCCAAAAACTCCTAAATTTAGAGATGTTTGGAACAAGAAAGAGAGTTTGGTTCAGGCCCATCCACTGCAGCAAATTGAACACAAGTCATCATCTACACGAGCGACATTTTCGGCGTGTCCAGAGCCTGGTGGGAGCTGACATTCCTTCTCCCAGAAAGATTTACAGAATCTGTGCATTGACAAGCCTTGAGGTAAGCCCTGCTCTGAGGGCCAAGTGCATAAATTAGGCCTGTCCCCTCCCTTCAGTAGATCCCATACACACTGTAGGTTGGCTCAGTGTGCTTTGGCAGCTCCCAGTCTGTGAGCGCGTGTTCGCAGAGAGGGAGTTCATGTCATACTCGTGCATTTACATTTTCTTTTCTAAGGCTTTGGTGCAAGGAATACATTGCACATCATTTTTTCCCTCCATTCACATCAGATACTGGATTAAACAGACAGGGAAAAAAAAGTACTATTAACATGTTGGCACATATTGCACTTTCTCAGCAGAAACTGTGTCGCTTGAGCATCAGTTTGGTTTAAATTATGTAGGTCAGTGTAAGGTCAGCAAGAAGTGCTGGATTAGCATCCTCAGAGACTGAGGTCCTCTCCTCACTCACAGAACAAGGCCACATCAAGAAATGTCATTAAAGCTTCATGCACAAAGACAGAGATATTTCCTCAGGCCAACCAAGTGCTCACCTGTTCCGTGAGCCCTTGGCTTACATGGAAAACAGACTGGCCAGTTGGCAGGATGACGAGGGGACTGACACTGTCAAACTGCTTCTTCAAACACTGTCAGGGTTTTTATGAGCTGCATATTTGCAGCAGTCCATGTACCTGTGAAATAACTGAATCACTGTCTTCCATGTGTCAAAAAGATGCCATTTCTGGGCTGTTCCATCTTCCTCCCACAGATTACCACATTTTAGGTAGAATGCATGGCCTGAAAACCCAAATACGTGTGGCAGCTCAAACTGGCTCTTGGTGACTTCTAGAAAAGTAACACAGGGATAGCACTGGGAGCCCCACACATCATCCCAAAGGCTTTCAGCTTTCCCAGCTGGATTATCTGTGCTAAGCTTTTCTCTGTGACCTGAAGAACCAGTACAGTTGTTTCTCATTGAGGGCCAAAAGCCTCATATAATCAGGCAACATGAGAAAGAGGGCTTTCTGAAGAATGGAAAACATGGAATGATTTGGGATTAAATGACAAAAGAACTGAATATTGTGCATGCATCTCCTGCATTTCCAGCAAATTCATGGTCTTGGCAGGCTTCTCACACAGCCCAAGCACTCCTCTTCAAAATTCCACGGTATCCCATCTTCCAGGCTGCCTGGTATCTCTGCTCTTCCTCAGCTTCTTTCCAGGTTTTTCCACAAATCCATGGCATTCCAGCACTGTGGCATTTCTCAGTGTCGCTTTGACCAACTGGAGGATGTGATACTTTGCATGGCATGTTCACACTCTTCCTCCCACGGCTTCAGCCATTCCCAATGTTCCCTGTGCTCACTTCTTAGGAGGCAGAACTGTTGTTCCAGAAATAAGATCCAGCAATTACTTCATTCCAGAAATGAAAGTTGCAGGAAAGGTTTCCCTCCTTCCGCTTCTTTCTAAAAATATATGCAGGAAAACTA